GAAGAAAAGCAGCGACTGCGGAGGGAAAGGGGACGCCGCGCGGCTCGAACAGCGATTCGGGGAAGAGACGCTGGGGGGTGCTGGGTGGCGGGGCTTCCCACGGGACGGTCACAAGGGGAAAGAGGAAGCGGCGCCCGTTCGCGTCCCCGTTCCCGCGGCGCAGGGTGGGTGCGGAGCTGGGAAGGCATTGCCGCGTTCAGGCAGTGCCGGGATGCTCAGCGCAGGGACCGCACAGCGCTCCACCGGGGGAACTCGCACAGCGCTGCCCCGCGCCGGGATCCGCTGCAGCTGCGGTTCGGCGGTACTGGGAACCGGGGGTACCGGAGATACCGAGATTAACGGCGGGGCCCAAACGCGCCCTCCCCGGGAAGAAGTGCGCTTTGTGCCTGCAGCAGGAGGGGTGAAAGCGGTCACTGAAAGGAGCGCGTGTTTGTTTGTGTTGGTGCGCGAACCCCCCCAGCGCGGAGCGCGCTCCCCTTTGCAGAACGAGCGTCGGGAGTGCGGAGGGATGAAGGACCCGAGCCCGGGGGAAGGGGGGGCACGAAGCGCGGGGTCCGTACCTGCTGGTAGTCGGGGTCCCGCGGGTGGAAAGCGGCTGGCACGGGCTGCAGGCGCAGGCCGCGGTGGGGCAGCCCGTGCAGCCAGGCCGCCCACCAGGGCGCCAGGTAATCGGCGCGGGCGGGCGGCATGGTGGGGCCGGGCCGGGGCCGCTGATGGCGGGGGGCAACGCGCCGCCACGCCGCGCTCCGCCCTCCAGGCCACGCCCCCTCAGAGCGACCACGCCCACTGGGGGGGGGTCCACGCCCCCTCCTGACCACGCCCCCTCGCCGTGCGGCTCTTTGCTCCCCGCTATGGGGCCCCGGCGTTTCATCGAGATGTCAGCTGGATCACCGGCCTGCATCAGGCTCTGAGCGCCCTAATCGAGATGTAGGTATCTCCATTCTTTGTTGGAGGGTTGGACCAGGTTAAAGGTCCCTTCCTGCTCAAAGGGTTCCATGATTTCCTTGCATTGAAGTACTGCACCCATCGCCTTGCTGCTATAGGAGCACTGCACCCCTGGGGCTTCCCGTTAAAAGGATCATTGAATCCTATCACTTTGCTCCCTTCATCAGGGAAATGTACCCTAATGATACGAGGGTGCTGCATCCCATCAGTGCTAGAGGCATCACATCCCTCCATCTCCTGTAAGGGTATTGCTGTTCCTGTAAGCAAACTGTACCCTAATGGGATGACAGGGGGACACACCGTCACCCTCTTATAGGGCCACACACCAGGACTCTGTCACAAGGGCTGAGCTTGAGCTCAGACATCAGCAGCTGGGTATGCTCCCACCCAACCCGGTCACCCCATGGAGACTCCTGCTGCAGCAGTAACCCAAAACTGCTCCATCCCAACTGTCCCAGCAAACAGCAGCTGAGGACATGCTGGGCATCCCCCACATCCATTCTGGAAAGATACCAAATCTTGTACATCATCCTGCAGGGTTATGGTGATGAACACATTTACCTTCCACTCCACACTGCCACCACAAATCCCTGGCAAAATACCATTCCCTGCCAAGAAGTTTTACTCTTTATGGCTCTCCTCTCAAGCATGTGTTATTAATACCCACTGCTCCAGGTACAGCAAGCTGCACCTAAATCAGGAACGGGGTGAAAAAAAAAAGTGTCTGAGGATCATTTTCTCTACATCAAAAATCTTCCACTAGAAAACCATTTAGTTCCCCCGAGGCAGTGCATTGTAAAGGGCTGGGAGCTGGTCTGCAGCTGACCCTAAGCCCAGGCAGTGTGTGGGTGCTCCCAGCACAGCTCACGCTCACTGTGCCCCAGAAGACCTTCAGGGAACATTGCATCAGGGAAGGCGATGGGGAACCGCGGTAGGCTGCAGGCAAACCAGCCACTCTTTGTCAGCCTAAGGACCTCTGAGCTTTCCTGCAGCCCTGCTGGGAGGCTCACCCAGAATTAATGTTAGCAAAAGCTACAGCTGAGCAGTCTTCTGCTCTGGCATGCAGTCTCACCGGGCAGCTGCCAGCTGGATGGGCTGAAGAGGCCCAGCACTTAGGATGTGAATGCAGATCATATGGCAGCTGACAAGACACTCCATTCACATGCACAGAGCAGCTGCCTCAGCCCCCTCGGGTGCCCCTCACTGCAAGCTCTGCTGGGGCACAGACTGAAACCAGCTCCTGAAGCACCAGGCTGTGAGCTGGCACACTGGGGTAGCCGGTCCAGGCCATGCATGGCAGAAGCCATTCCTTCTAGAGCAGTTACAGAAACACATATGGCTTCACCAAGGTGCTGTTTGGAAAGGACAAGTCTGACACCTGGAAACACTTCCAATTTTTATTGTAATAAATGTGGAGAAATCTAGGTGCAAACAGTTCATTTCAGCTCCTTCACAGCCAAACCTAGGGAGGAGAAAAAGACAAAAGTTTGAAACATGGTTCATCACCCTGTCTGGCCAGGAGAGAAGCATCTGCCCTTGTGCAGGAGACACGCAGCTGCAGCTTATTACAGGGTTTGCAGAGGGCCTGGAGCAGCTCCCCTTGCCTGCCAGCACAAGCTGCAGCTGTGCAAAGAGCAGTCAGAACCCCACAGCTCCCCAGGCACTTATCAACACTTGGAAGTTTGAGCAGCATTTGCTCAGGCAACTAACAGACTGCACCTTCTGCCCCCCCTTCTATTCTGATCTCAGCTGTGCTCCAGCACAAGATCCCAGACTTGGGCTGGCCCCTGGGAGGTCCCCCTGGTGATACCTGGAGGCAGGGACTGTTTCAGCTTCTCTGCCTTCTCCTTGTCTGTGATGACCAAGGTGTAAAGGTACCGGCTGCAGCGCACCTTGAATTTCACATTGTCCTTGTTCTTCTTGATCTTGACAGCTGCAGGATTAACAACGGGTTAGTGGGACAGCAGCAACCCCACCTTTCCTTTTATGAACCATGTCCAGACAGGAGCATTTTCTGTGAAACCACAAATCCTACACATCCCAAAGGAAACGTGGAGATCTTTTTGTCTCATAGCAGATATTTACAACAAGTAGCATCAGAAGCGTACAGCATCTCAACAGAGCATAGAAGTGCACTGGACTTATTTTGTGTAATCCTCTGCATCTGAATAGCAGCACTGACCCTTGTAATGAGTCTTCTCAACTCTGCATGGCTGCAGGCAGTGCTTCATCTCCTCTCCAGCCATGCAGGGCTGTTTTATCTAAGCAGCTTGCTCAAAGCTGTGGTCAGTTGCTCTCCTTTCCCACTGCACATCCCATGCAGCTCAGTATAACAAGCAGTAGAGCTGCTGCAAAATCTAGAATGACTTGAAAGGTACTGAAATGCTTTGTAAGCAGCTGTCAGCAACTATAGTAACAGTGCACACTGAACTATCCCTCTCTCGCCCACACCGCTGAGTTAACAAAACATTTCCAGAATTAAAGCACCTCATCCCCATGACAGCTACATCCAAATACAGGAAAAAATAAAAGAAAACTGCTTGCACATTGTTAAATACCGAGACAAGACATTCCAGCTTTTCAATTATAATTGTCTTTGTATTCGCAACAATAGAAAACTTGAGTTTAAGCGTGATTCACTTGTCAGGTGTCGCAGAGCTTTAACAGAACGACATCTTTTAGCTCGTCAAAGATTTACTAAGTCACAGACAGGCTAATATTTGCAAATATCTTCCCACCAGTTGCAACTTGGGTTTGGCAAAAACACCCACGAGTGAACAGCAGCAGAAGAAACCCAAGTGAGTGAGCACCAAGCCCTGACCAGCTCATCCCTGGGATTGCACCTCCTCCCCTGCAGCTCCTCTGCAGCCAGGATGGCTTTGCTCAGCCAACGCTCAGTTGCAAATGCCACTGGCGTTGCACGCAAACACAGCCTCAGCCAGGAAATCCCTCAGCACTTCCACAGCATGGAGCTGCTCGGCCTAATGGGTGACACAGGCCTGCAGCCCCACTCAGGAGGGGAACTGCTGAAGCACATTTACTCCTCTCCTAAAGCAGCTTCAGCACTTACACTTTGCATCCTTCCTCCTGGCTGTCAGCAGAAAGTCTTTGATCTCCTCAATCTTGCGAGGCTGAAAGATGAAACACAGTCAGCATAGACAAGGACAAGAGCTGATACTCACCCTATATTCTGTCTTTGGTGCAGCCACTCAGTTGGGCCTCAGCCCAGACCCCAAGCGCACCCCCAAAAACAGGAGCAGGTCTCCTCAAAACCTTCACCCACGATGAAGGGGAGAACCCCTCACTCTGCACACAGACCCAAAGAACAATGGAGATTCCTCTACTGGACCCCACAGCTGTAAGGAACGAGAGAACTTCCACTCACGGACCGAAAGAAGCCCCACAGCACGTCTGCGAGCCCCCCCCCCACTCCCTCACGAGCCCCCTCCTCACCATGACTCCGGGCCGGGCTCAGCTCGCTCCAACCTGCGGGAGGAACAGGCCAAGATGGCGTCAGAGCATCATCCTCACAGCCTCAACGGCCACCCCACGCCCGCCGCCCGCCATCAGCCCCCCCCGAGTCCCCGCCGCCCGCCCTGCACCTCCCGAGGACGCCCAGCCCCACACGGCCTCGGATGGCGGCGGATACCACACAGCCCCACTCCGCGCTCACCGCTGCGGCTCTCGGCTACTGGGAGCGGAAAAGAGAGGACGCACTTCCGCTTCCGGGACGCCCCCTCAAGCCCCGCCCTTCGCAGCGCGCTACGGCGCGAGCGGAGGGACAAAAAGCAGAGGGAAGAATGCAGAGCGGCGCTGTGCTGAGTTGGTGGGTGCTGAACTCCGCGGTCTCTGCGGATCTTGTTGGCGGGTGCTGCTACGTTGTGGACAGAAGGGATGCCGTGGCCTCACGATCGGTGCTTGCTGAAGGAGCTCCGGCCCTACGGAGCCGCCCAGCCCCCTGGTTCCCAATCTGCAGCCCCGCGGCTCTCAGTCCCCGGCCCGCCCCAGGAGCTGAGTGCAATGCAGCCTCCTGGCCACAAGGGGGAGCCGTAGCCATGCGCAAAATCCTCCAAACCGACCCAAATCCGCGCTCCTCCTCGAGGTCGGGCGGTCCGTCCCACCGCCCCCGGTGATTCGGGGCTGCTTCAGGCAGGGGCGGCGCAGCCCCGGGTCGGGAGGTGCCGCAAATTAACGGGAGAAGCAGCGGGAGCTGAGATCTCTCCGCTTGTGCACGCACGAAGGTGGCCCTGAGCTCCCCTGGGCGGACCGCGGTGGGTGTGAGCTCACACGAGCGTGCACAGCTGCGTGTGGTGGGTGGGCTGTGCTCCCTCCTTGCCCCGCATCACCACCCCCGCCCCACGCCATCACCCGCAGCGCTGCAATGGGGTGCGGCTGCGGTTAATGTTGTCTTTGCATTGCGTTAACGGTGGACGAGGTGACCCTCCGTGCTGCGTCCTGCATGAACACGCGGCGGGGGGCTGTGTGCGCTGAGGACGATGGCAGCTCATCGTCCTTCTGTCAGCTGCAGGGATGCTGGCAGCGCCCCGGAGTGATGCGATGGGGGTTACAGGGAAGAAGGAGACACTGGGAGATCACAGCTCCGCCCAGAGACAAAGTGGGTCCTATTCCACCCTCCTCCCTACGCCCCTAAAAATGAGTTTTGTAATTGTTTGATTTACTTCTCTCATCCCGGATCGGCTGATCTACTCCGTTGCGTTTTAATTGCTCCAAAAGTTGAGCAGTTTTTCATGTTTTAAGGAGTGCTGAATTGTATAATTAAAACACTAACAACGTAAATCAACAGCGCAGAAGAAAGACAGCAGAGAATTAAGCGGCGGCTTGGCGGCATCATAAAACCAAAGCAGCATGGAAAGTGCTGATGTCACATCCCAATGCCATGGGATGGAGGTGGGAACAGGGGGGATGAGAGACAGCTCTGGGAGCTGTGGCAGTGCCGTGCATGGGGGCTCAGCCTCTGCCTGGTGCTCGACCTCCTCGCCCCCAAAATCACCAAGTTTGGGCCCAAAATGTTGCGTGGTCCTGCGCCTTCCATCCCCGCTCCTGACTGGGAACAGATTCACTTTGACTTTATTAATATCATTTAAAAGCAGAGTGGGCGTATAAATCAACAAAAATAATTCATGAGAGTCGTTAGCTCCTCAAAGAGGGGATCTTTTTATGACTGGCTTTAAATTAAGGGAAAAAAAAAAAAAAGAGAGAGAGAGAAAAATCTCATTCTGAAACTGCAGCTTTTAAAACACATCAAATACATTTCCTCCCTGCCTCCCACCGGCCTCGGCTCCTCCGCCTAACGAAATTCAATTAGCATCCTTAATTCACCCTCTGGCTACCAGTTTGATATTAAAAACTCTCATCTCTCAGCTCTGCAGGGATGGGGGAAGATTGGGATGCTGACCCCCAGCGAGCCACCTTTCCCCCTCCCCAAATGCCCTGCGGAGGTGGGCACTGCTGGGGGTCTTGTCCCCAGGCTCTGTGTCCCCGTGTCCTTGGGGACAGCGGGTGGCCGTCCTGCTGCACGCCGTGCAGAGCTCAGCTGGCAGGATTTGTGTGCACCCGGCGATTAGATGCTATCTGCTTATCGGCAGCAGCACGGCCGGCTCTGGGCGAGGGAAGGAGATAGCAAGCAGCGGCCGAGAGGAGATGCAGCAGCCGATGGGATTGCGCTCTCTCTCTCTCTCTCTCTCTCTCTTTCTCTCTATCCTCCCAATTCTAAGTTCAGTGGCTGCCCAGGATCACCTGCTGCCAGCTCCATCGCTCAGCAATACTGGAGCTGTGCCCTCTGCCCAAGCACTGCTTGCAGCCCGCTGCTCCGTCACAGCCGTGTTTACACACACAGGGCAGCCCTATTTTCCTTAGGTGTAATTATGCCATCTGTAATGTGGTTGCAAACCGTTTCTCGTGGTGGAGGGAAGGAGTTGCCGTGCTGTGCTGCTGCTTGTTGCAGCCCCCACTGTCCCTGCAGCTTTCTTCCCACCCTGTTTCTCCTAAGGACACGGCGGTGCCCTGCTTGTGGGGCCCATGTGATGCTCTGGACACGTTCACGCTGACATCCCCCTGCCCAGAGGGGAGGTGTGTGGGAGCCAGAAGGGAAAACCTGCAGGAAAAGCACACAGCTGTTTGGTCCTGTGGGGGCTCTGAGCACAGTGGGCACTGCTGCTCCCCAAGGGAGCTGCCAGCAGGTGAGCAGCAGGGCTGGCTCAGCCGGGCAGGTGATGCTTCCAGTGAATGTGTTTGTCTTGGAAAGCAGCGCTGGACAGAGGTGGGAAGGAGGCATAGCTAACGGGAGACATGGAAGGACAGGTTGGGAAGGAGGGTCCCCATTCAGACAGCAAACTGCGGCAGGAATGGATTTTTTCCCCCTGTTTACTCGAGGTTCCCCCCTGGTTTGGAGAAGAAAGGCCGTGCATCACCATCAGCTGCTCCGAAGCGAGAGCGCAATTTGCTGAATGCGTTTATTACTATCAGGGACTGAAAACTATTCCCAATCACTCGGCACTTCCCTTCATTCTCTCTTCCTCTCTCTCACCTCTCGGAGCTCAGTGCCCTGGCAGCGCTGCCAAGAGCCGATCAATCCGCTGCTAATGGCAGCCCCGTGCTCTGCCATTCATCAGCCAGGTCCTTAAAGAGCATCCGACGCTTCTTGGTCGACTTGGGGGGGAAAAAAAAAAAGCCCATTTGCAGGCGAGATCGTATTTTCTCCGTCTCCCCTTTTGTTCTTTATGCGCTGAGGACAAAGGCGGCTCAGGCTGGAGGTGGGGAACAGGCAGTGGAGGGGATGAAATCCCACCAAACAAAAGCTCCCGTTCTTATGCAAAGTGGGAGCAAATTTGGGGAGGAGGGGAGCACAGAAACTGTGTCCTGTGGCAGAGCAGCGGTGTCAGTCGGGCAGGAGCCCTTCCTCGCCACGATAAGAGGAGAGGGAATGCAGTGGAAGTTTTCCTGCAGGCATAGGGGGCTGTTTGAGGCACGGGAATATTGTTGTGCACTACGGCTGAGGTCAGATCCTGCCCGCCATCACTGCCATGAGTTGTGCTGGGCTCAGTGGGGCACAGAGGGGTCGGTCCCTTGGTGGGATGTGGGGCTGCTGTAGTGGCACAGGGACAGCTCCCCTTGTCCTCTGCAGCACTGGGATCTGCTGCAGAAGGTGATGTGGGGGCAGAGCCTGGAGCTTATGGTGAGCCCTGCAGGAAGGCAGCACCAGGAGCACGGCAGCAGCAGCTCTAAGCATGACGTTCAGGAGGCTCCTCACCCACCAGCGCCTGTGAGGGCCCTGGGTGCTCTTGTCATCCCCTTGCTGGAGTTCCCTTAATTAAGCATGCCCTTAATCCACCACCATGGCACAGCATGAGCAGGGCTTGGGGCCCTGCAAGTACCTGCTCCGTGTCTGCCTCTCCAAAGGGGCTTCTTGGTGCCTCAGGAGAGATGTGCAGAGAAAAGGGAGATTGGACAAGCCCATCTTAATTGCATTTTGCTACAGCAAGGAAAGGAACTCTTCCTCTGGTTGAGCCCTGCACAGTGTCCCTGTGTGCCACCGGTGTCCCCACATCACCATGAAGTCCCCCGTGCCTCCATGGGAAGCCACAGTTTTATGGACATCACTCATGCTGGGGGTCCCCACTGGTGCTGCACGGAGCCTCAAAAGCCACATGCTGGGTCGGAGCGGGCTGGCAGCCATGGGACACAGGATGGGCAGGTGTGGAACTGTGCAGTGACATCAGTGATGGCACCAGTGGGGCAAGGGCAGAGCAGCTGTGGTGCTGCCTGGCTCCCCGCCACCTCGTGCAGCTCAAGTCAAATTTGGTGTCATCCTGCAGAGGAAGATTATGGTAATTTTCCTTCCCCCCTTATGCATAATTTTCAGACTCGGCTGCAGCAGAGGCTGTGTGGAGAGATTGGGTGATGGGAATGTCATCTGCGATTCGATTATCTCCTCCTGCCTTGCTTTTTTTTTTTTTCCTTGTGAAACCTTCATCAAAATACGTAGATCTAATTAGGACAATTACAGCGTGAGGACAGCTGAGAACCCACCCAGGCCCTCTCTGCACCGAGCCGAGTGTTGGCTGCTTAGAAACCAGCAGCTGGGGGGTCCTGTGTGGCACTGCTCGGGGGTGGCGGTGACATCGGGGTCCCGCTGCCAGGCAGGTGGCCTCGGGTTTGTCCCCACAGCTTTGCCATCAGCACCTGCTGGCGACAGATCTGTGCCACGAGCTGCAGGGTCTCAGCACCTCTCTGACACATTGCAGGGGGAGCTGCCCCCCGGTCCCGGCACACGGGGCACAGTGTCCCCACCCCTGGGGGTGTCGCTCTGCGAGGAGAGGCTGCCCGCCAGCCTGCAGCTCCGCGTCCCTCATTGGTATTCCGTCCCCGCTCGGTGGCAGCCGGCAGGATGGGAGCGGAGTGACAGCGGTGACAGGGAACGCCAGCCGCGGGGACGGCAGCGGGACGGCGGGGAGGGGACCCGGGACGGCACCCGCAGGGCTCTGTGTGCCCGTGATGGGACTTGTCAGAGCCCCGATGGTGGTGTCCGCTGCTGGCACTGGAGCACACACCCTTGTGCCGGGTGTGCACGTCTCTGCACTGTGCCGTCAGCTGTGTGGCACTGGGAATGCTCAGCACACATCATCCCAAAGCAGATAGGAGGGTCCTCAGCCAGGGCTGCTTTCCTCTGTGCCGAAGCACGCAACACTTCTGGTGCACAGGAGCACGCAGGAGGTGCTTAGGTGCTTGCTTGCACAGCCCCGGCCCTGGGGCAGCACGCAGACAGGTGTGGGTTGTGGCTGAGCACGCCGCTGCCCCGCCGGAGCACTGCCTGCCCTGGAGCGTGGGGGGAACGGGGGCTGGCGGTCAGACGGAGCTGCTGCACGGGCAATTAAGGGAAGTGCAAATTGTCAGACCCTGTGATTAACACTGCCTCCAAATCCGCATGAATATTAAAAGCCGACATTGCCCAGGCTCCCTGCACAATGAATTCTGTATGAATCTTAAGATAAATCGTTTGGATAACTTAGCGGCAGCTGTACTCCCTCGCCACCAACTGCCTCCAAAAATCATTTCAAGTCAGGCGAGAGGAGCGAGAACAGA